AGCCTCGGCCCAAAAGGATCTTAACAATCCACTCTGTGACATCATACATTGCACATTCTCCAGTAAGGTACGGTTCAATCTCTCATCCACCTTGTTTTGTTGTGGTGTCTTTTGAACTATGAAGTGTCGCCTAATGTCGTGATCTCCCAAAACTATAAAAATTGATCACTCTCATACTCTCCTCCATTATTTGAACGAAGTGTCTTCACCTTTCTACCTGTCTACAGCTTCACTTTCTTCTTATAAAAATTGATCACTCTTATACTCTCCTCCATTATTTGAACGAAGTGTCTTCACCTTTCTACCTGTCTACAGCTTCACTTTCTTCTTCCACTCCACAAAAATATCCAGGACCTCATGTTTATACTTCATGGTATATAACCAATTTCTCATGGAATAGTCATCAACGAAAGTGATAAAATAGTTTGTCCCACCAAGTGATGTGTGCCTTGAAGGACCCCAAACATCTGTGTGAATATAATCCAATATACCTTGGGTGTTGTGAATTGCGGTGCCAAACTTCACTTTAGTCTTCTTCTTAAGTACACAATGCTCACACAGCTTCATCTTGCAGGTCTTTGCACCTTTTAATAGCCCCTGTTTTGTTAATATCTGTAGGGAATTATCACCAGTGTGTCCTAATCTCATGTGCCATAAGCTGGTCGTATCCTCCTCTGTAGTGATAGAAGCTACCAGACCCCCTGTAACTATCTTGCCCTTCAAGTAGTATAGGTTATTTTTCCTGACACCTCGCATCACCACCATAGAACCTTTCGTAACCTTCAAGTGACATTCTCTAAGATCACACGATAGCTTGCTACCTCCAAAGTCCCAAGAGAAATGATATTCTTCGACAACTGTGGAACGAACCTCACTTCCTTCAGCTCCCTAGTCACCCCGTCACACATCCTAATCCGGACTGTACCAATACCACCAATAGGGTATACGTGATCATTACCCGTAAGCATGACATCCCCTCTTTTCAACTCCTTAAACCTGGAGAACCAATCCCTCCTAGGGCAAATGTAATATGTAGCTCCCGAATCCAACATCTACTCCATAGAGTCAGCATAAGAAACTAACGGTAGTGCATAGCAAGAGTAGTCCGAAGAATCCGAATCTGAATTATCACCAACAGCCTTTGCAACTTTGACCTCTAGAGCTTGTACAACTTTTCCCTTGTTCTTCTCGGCTTTATCCTTCAACTTTGGGCATTTATTCTTCCAATGTCCCTCTTCTTTACAAAAGGCATATTGATTTCTACCAACACTCTTATGGCCACCTCTATTCTTTGACTTTGAATGGTTGAACTGGAAGCGGTTTGGACTACGGCCTCTCGAATTGCTAATGCATCTCCTGATGCCTTCTCGGATGGTTCGTCATCACTCTTCCTCAACTCATAGTTCACTAATGCTGAGGTCACTTCCTTGTAGCTAACAGTAGTTCTTCCATTGATCATAGTAAAAACAAAGGTACCATAATCATCATCCGGCAACGAAAATAATAGAAACATCGCCTTGTCTTCATCCTCAACCATGATGTCCACATTGGCCATATCCGAAAGCAACTTCGTGAAGTTATTGACATGCTCTCTAATGGAAACTCCCCTCTTCATCTTGAATTGGTAAAACCTCTTCTTCAAGTGAAGCCGATTCTCAATGCTTTCAGTAAGATACTTCTCATTGAGTGTTTCCCATAATCTCTTCGCGGATATCTCGTTCATCACATCATAAATCAAATTCGACGTCAAGTATGACCGAATAACCCCACATGCCCTACTGTTCATCTTCTTCCAAATCTTGTCCTCCATGTCTTCAGGTTTCTCTTGTAATTCAAGAGTCTCCTCCAAATTCTGGGCATCCAATGCATCCATCACCTGGCACCTCCACAAACCAAAATTAATCTTTCCATCAAACTTCGGAACATCAATCTTAGTGTTGTTGATGCTCAGTCTCTGTATCGCCTTTGTAAGAGACGATCTCGATATTCTTGCTTCACCCATGTTGACGATCTAACTCTTCAAATAAGAATCCTTCAGAGAATCCTCCAAACAAGCCCCAAGCTAAACCCGAAGCTCTGATACCACTTGTTGTGCGCAACAGAACTCAAAACACACGAAAGAGCATGAACAAGAACGAGACAAACCACAACCAAACGAACAAACACAAACCACAGCAAGACAAACAAATTTTACGTGGTTCGACAAGTTGCCTACGTCCATGGGACAAGGAGGGGGGAGTTTTTACTATTAGAGATAAAGAGAATACAAATAAGATTTACAATCTCACCAAAAACCCTCAAACAAACCTATCAAAATCTCTCATAAATTCTCCCTCAAAGGATGCACAATTCTCTCTCAAAAGCTGCTCAAAGTCGTCCTGGATTAACCCTAATAATCGTCATTAAGGTTATATACCAACACAAAATGAAACGGGTTAGAAAATATAACCCAGATTCAGTCCTAACTGGCGGTCGACCGGCGAGCGCGTCAGAACAACATAACCCAGGACTCAGACCTTGACGGCCGCGTCGACCGCCGACATCGTCGTCGGCCCGACCGCCGGGTCAACAGGAAAATACATCAACTACAGGATTTGCACGGGTCAACGACGACAGCCGCGTTGCGACAAAAGTCAACAACGTGACGACGAAAGTCGACACGTGACGACAAAGTCAACCCTACCACCGGCGCGGTAGCAGACATCCAGCTCTGTTCCTAAGGTGACGCCCTGGCGTGTTGGACGTCAACGCGAAACCTTAGTGGCAGTGCACGCGGCCGGACAGCGCGCTTGCCAACAAAAAGTCAACCCCCAGTTGATTCGGAGGCCCCATGCTAACCACGAGTCGACCGTCTCCAACTCCAGAATCTGCATTCGACTTGTGCACGTTTCCAGTCGACCGCAGTTGTCTCGCGGTCGATCGACAAGCTTCCAAATAGTTTCATGCACCTGTTTTCCTAAACTTTTCAACTGTGTTGCCAATTCTACAAGGACGGCTACCAATATCAGTCCTCTTTGAACAAGAAGAAGGATTTAAATGCCTATCTTGGAATTAAGGTAACAAAACGATTTTGAGTCATGTCTAGAACTGGCATGGATGGAAAAGCATGGAAGGTAAAACCATGTAGCCCAACGTTACTACAAAGTTCTGTAGCAACACAAGTAGTAACAAGTTGGACAGAAAGTACTTTAAATGCACATCAAAATGTTAAACTTCTTTGACCACATAGTATAGTGTCATGTTCTCACCTCGTGCATTGGCACAAATGCCAGACATTCTTTAACATCAAAATTTCAGGATTGACGACATATAATTACATGTCGATACTGAAGAAGACATGCATCTCATTCAAAATACAGAATAAGACATGCATCTCATTCAAAATGCAACCAGCTAATAGATGGAAAGAAGCTAGATCATTCAGCCTATCTCACGGTGCATAAGTTACGGATAATTATTCATAGTCCTAACCAAATTCAATGTTGTGAATTAAAAGGACAAGTGAAATTAGACTTGACAGAGTACCTTGAGTTTGCCAAATTCAAACCTACATTACTACATGTGTAGAGAGGCAATATTAGTCTCTTAAATTGCGTTATTAGTCCCTATGATTAGTTGGGGTTATAAATAAAGGGGAATACTCCATTAAAGTTAACTTTTTATATGTAAGGATTTCCCTATGATTAGTTGGGGTTATAAATAAAGGGGAATATTCCATTACAGTTATTTTTTTTTTCTGGTAAAGATTTGGATACTCCAAGACCTAATCCAACCCACTTAAATGGCATGCTATTACAATCTTAAAATGAGAATAATTAAGTATTACAAATAACTACATGCAAGTGCAAAACGTACAATATGAAACTAAACGTGCAACCAAAATCATAATTCATATGTCATGCATACAACAGTCTCAAGATGCGACGAGTTAAGAATTATCCCAACCATGGAAGTCATAGTACGAAATTAATATAAATCTAATTTAAACCTAAATTGAACAAAATAATCACAGAAAAAATCTAAAAGAAAATTTTCTTTGGAAAATGAATAATTTCCATTAACTATTACGCATTGACGTACAAACTACCCAGGTATACCTAGGAAACAAAAAAGAGAAAATTGAAAACTATAAGGAGTGTTTGGCAAATGCACTAGTACAAAACAGGATAGCCCAAACGGTTGGAACCGTTTGGGAAAACCCCCTCCCAAACAGTTCCAACCGTTTGGGAAAGGGAAAAAACTCGTTTGGGCTAAAGCCATTAGGGATGAGTTTTCCCCAACGGTTGCCCAAACGGTTGTAACCGTTTGGGCCGTTGCCCAAATGGTTACAACCGTTTGGACGTTATCCCAAACCGACGAAACCGTTTGGGACAACAATCTATGCCAAATGGTTACAACCGTTTGGCCAAAAACTTGGCCAAACGGTTGGAACCGTTTGGCCAACAGTTAGGCCAAACGGTTAGAACCGTTTGGCATAGATTGTTGTCCTAAACGGTTTCACCCGTTTGGGAAAGTATCTGACTAAAGGGTTACAACCGTTTGGCCTATTAATTTTAATTATTTTTTTCATTTCAGTATTTTATTTAGTTATCTGCTTACATTTAATATACACATTTACACAATGATACTCAATATCTCACAATGAAATAAAAAACATATACATAGTTTGGCCAAGTTTTTGGCCAAACGATTACAACCGTTTGGCATAGATTGTTGTCCTAAACGGTTTCACCCGTTTGGGAAAGTATCTGACTAAAGGGTTACAACCGTTTGGCCTATTAATTTTAATTATTTTTTTCATTTCAGTATTTTATTTAGTTATCTGCTTACATTTAATATACACATTTACACAATGATACTCAATATCTCACAATGAAATAAAAAACATATACATACCCAAAAATATCTCAAACGGTGCTAAATATTTAATAGTATATATAAATACACAATAATTACTCAAAATGTAATATTAGAGATACATGCACAATGATTACTCAATATCTCACAATGAAAAGCATTCAATGTTATATATTTGTCTCTAATATCCAAAATGTCTCATACATCAAAATATAAGATAGGAGCGGCCTGATCCATCCAGTCAAGGAACAGAAGAAATTCCTCGAAGAATATCCTCTTGGGACAAGCCCGAACGTCTTAAGTCTGCAAATATCCTAGCAATATTCTCATGTTACAGACCTTGAGCACTGGAAGTAGAAGTGTTAACGGTTGAAGCAGGACGAGCAGAATGTGGTATATCGGTAGCGGGCTGAGGAATTGAAGCCGGACGAGTAAAAGCTGGTGGATCACTACGAGTGGGAGCAGGACGAGCGACCTGAGAAGTAACCTATAAAGTAATAGCAATGTATGAGTGTATACATGTCTGAGTGTTAAGTCTATGTGTATGTTTACGTGTATAAGTATAAGATGTATGTATATTTGTGTATGCTAATGTACATGTGTATGCGAGAGTGTGTGAATATTAGCATATGTACCATATTGTTAGTAATCAACTGCATCTGAGACCTAAACTCCTCCCTAAGCTCCTCCCTAAGCTGCTCCCTGAGACTATCCATCTCAGCTACCCGAGCTCTAAGATCAGCCACCTCGCGACATAGCTCCTGATTAGAAGTGCCAATTTTTGGTATGGAGGACACCCTCAAGTAAGTCCGAGTGGCACCAATGCCCGTGGCTTTTTCATAACCACCGTGATGCTCTCCGTGCATGGAATCTAATATCTGGGTGAAACAAAGTGCATCGTCCTCTGTGGCTGAATCGACCCCTGATAAGGTTGCCTCCTGGATGACTCGATTCTACACAATATAAAGTATTCAACTTTAAGTCGACAATGCAGAAGTAGATATATTTAAGAAAAAAATAAAAACAAAATAGAAGTATGATTATAGCATAAAAGCAATTCAATCCTTGATATGGATTAAAGCAGTTGAAGTGTAGATGATTGACTAAAGGCAGGATACAGAAATAAACTAGAACAATCAAAGTTGCAGGTGATCTGTATTTTTGCATATTGTTTTTCTTTGCTATGGGCTTAAAACTATGAGGTGATCTATACTTATGCCAAAAAGGCCTAACATTTTCTCTATGTACCTAGTGAAAGAAACAGTATGCAATACACTGCAAATTTAAAATGAACATAGTGAAAGAAACGGTATGCAATACACTGCAAATTTGACTACAGTAACATTAAAGCAATAATAGTATTTGATCTTCTTTAAAACAGAGCACAAATATGAAATTGTGAAGAGATTGCAAGAGAAGAAGCACATATGTGGAATGACTGGAGATGGTGTCAATGATGCCCCAGCCTTAAAGAAGGCTGCATTGGAATTACAGTCGCTGATGCAACAGATGCTGCTAGAAGTGCTTCTGATATTGTCCTCACTGAGCCTAGGCTTAGTGTCATCATCAGTGTTGTTCTTACCGGCAGAGCCATTTTCCAGAGGATGAAGAATTACACATTAAGTACCTAGACCTTTGCTATAATCATCTAGTTCTTTTATGCACATCACTTCTTTATCTGACCATTCTGATTATTTCTCCTACCTACAGATCTATGCTGTCTCCATTACCATTCGTATTGTTGTAAGTACTTCTATAGTAACCGAATCCTTAGTTATTGCTTAAATTTGTGCATTACTGTTCTAATGTCAATACACTTCTTATCTTTGTAGCTTGGTTTTATGCTTATTGCGCTGATCTGGAAATTTGATTTCTCACCATTCATGGTTCTAATTATTGCCATCCTCAATGATGGTGAGTTTTCAAAAAAATAAAAAAAAAAGCATTTTGAGCCATTCTATTTTTGTTTCATTCATGATATTTTGTACTTTGAGACTTATCAACTTGTGATTTAGTATCTTGTTTTTTTCGGAAACAAGCAAACAGCCCCTTATAAGCAATATCTTCCCATAATTCCATTAGGCAACATTCTTAATATTTTGACTGCTTGAGTCAGTACTAAATCATTAGACAATTCAAGCACCATGGAGTTCTCATTAATTGTATAAGATTATCTCATTGGATGTTTTTATTTAAAAACTCAATGAAAGAACTTCAAACAGCCTCATTAATTAAAGAGCTTCTTATTTCATCCTCAATTCAACTTTTGTTAGCACAAATGCTTTCAATTGACGAACCGAAAAGAAACAGTTATTGCTAGTACCATGTGCGCATCACATTCTAGTAAAGAGCAAATGTAAAAAATGGCAGCTCCATCCAAATCAAGAAATTCATGTGTAGTAAAGATATTTTCATCCAAAGAAGACTTACGCAATACTCCTTAGTGCTGTTGTCCGGGTATGTATACTCTCCAGTAATCTTATCTACTGATGACGAGTGGGTACCCAAATATAGCTTCAACATTGTAGGTGTGCCACCATCCTCAATGATTTGACTTTTCTACAATTCACCAAAAATATGTTGTATAATCGATCAAATCATTAATAATTATATAATTTGAATTTTAAATAGCTTTAAGAAGCAAATTTACCAATCGATCCATAGCCCGAGACATGTTCCTCGAGCCACCTGTATAGGTTGGTCGACCATGCAAATTCGACGTCTGATTCTGCGCTTTACGTCTTGCCTCGTCCTGCATGTTATTATCATATTTAGATTTGTAATCAAACAAAGGCAAAATTAATTAGCTACTAAACATTTTATTTTAGTTTAAACTATACACCTTCTTGTCCTCTGAATCATAGCAAAATTAATTAGCTACTAAACATTTTATTTTAGTTTAAACTATACACCTTCTTGTCCTCTGAATCATAATAAGCGCACAAATTAGCCCATGAGTCTCTATCAATCCAAGAAAATGCCTGAGTAGTCCAGAGAGCCTCTCTCTCTGCTTCGGGAGTATTTTTCCATACCTCAAAACACTCTTGTTTTACCTGACACCTATTATACCGGACCCTCTCTCTCTGCTTCAGGAATATCTACAAGTATTTCACTATTCAAATCATTCCTAACCCATGAAATTTTATCAGATTCAGGAGATTTATCTTGACATACAACCTCTCCCTGCTCAAATTCTTCGTCATCATTGATCTCTACGACCTCCGAATCTATGAATTGTGGGACGTCGTAAGTATCCCTGGGCCTCCATCGACATACAACACTCCACCCCGAATGCCTCAAGCACTTCGAGTAGTATACTTGAAATGCTTGTTCTGGAAATATAAATGGATCATCCTCAAAGGAAAAACGTGTGGTGTTTATACTCGTCAATCCATATTCATCTACCCAAGTCCCATAATTGTCTCTCCACTTACCAGTTCTAGTCTTCATATCATACCAAACACATTGAAAGACATAAATGCATCCTGCTCATCCAGGATAGTTGATACCAAGTATGTTATCAAGGTACCAATAGTATATCTCGTCATTAGTGCCTAAGGTTGCAATTCCACTATTTTGAGTGGTTCGAGATTCTTCTATAGACTTGATTTTAAACTTGTAACCGCCAACACCGAATCCTTTATAGTATTTAACTTCAGCATCTGGAAGTGTAGCCAAATATCCAAGTTCCTTATCTAATATTGATGCTACACTTGGTAATCGGCTCTGACAAAAAGGTCAATACGACAATTACATAAAGATGTTAGATTAGATTGAATGAATGAGTCAAAAATTGAGATAATAGAAATCTTACATAAAGTTTAAACCAATTGTAAAAATTGTCCTGATGATGTGTTTCAACGCGTGCCTCATTCCAATTACTATGCATTGCACGTATTTCATCCATGTGTATTCTATTGTCAAAATTAGTAGTTAATGTGAGAAGTATATTATGTCATATAAACATATATAATTATGCGAAATAGATGTACTCTCTAACTTCTCCAAGGCGTTCGATATGGAGAAGGATAAAGCAATGAATCTTGTTGATAAATGCGAGAGTCATTCGATTGTAGTCCGGCTTTTTGATGGTCCGTCATGAATCACAAGAGGTCTATTGAGTTTTGTCTCAATGTCTTCATCCAAATAACGGGAACAAAAAGTGGTTACTTCCTCTAGCAGATAACCTTCCATAATAGAACCCTCTGGCCGATTTCTATTGCGAATATAATTTTTCAGAGTGAGAAGGTACCTACAAAAGCTTAACACTAAATCATCACATCTAAGATGTAAAATAAAAATATATCGATTACGTTAACGGTAAAATTAAAGGTATCTTTCGATAGGATACATCCATCGATATTGTACCGGTCCGGCAAGCCTAGCCTCGGTTGCAAGATGAACAGTCAGGTGTACAATGATATCAAAGAATGATGGTGGAAAAATTTGCTCAAGCTTGCACAAAATTAAGGGAATTTCAGCCTCTAGCTTCTTCAACTTATCATCCTCAATGTTTTTAGCGCACAACTCCCGAAAGAATCCGCAAAGATTGTTGATCACTAAACCGACTAATTTAGGAAGGGAAGTCCTAAGAGAGAGTGGAAGAAGATGCTCTATAATAATATGGTGATTATGACTCTTCAACCCTTCGATCTTGCCTTTAACAATCTTTATCTTCTTACTAAATGATCCTGAAAACCCTATGACTCTTCAACCCTTCGATCTTGCCTTTAACAATCTTTATCTTCTTACTAAATGATCCTGAAAACCCTGTAGGAACCTTCAACTCATGTAACACCTGAAGAAACTTTTTCTTCTCATCTGGTGACATGTGATACATGGCATTAGGGAGTACAAATTAGTCTGGATTCCCTGCCTTCGGTATAGGATGCAACTCTTTTCTAATGTTCCACGCCTGGTGATACCTTCGAGCTTTGAGGTTATCTTTTGATTTTCCATCTTTACAGAGAAATAAGTTAAGTATGTGCTCAGATACTCCCTTCTCAATATGCATGACATCTAGATTGTGCCGCACTTTATTTGTCTTCCAGTAGGGTAGTTCGAAGAAGATACTTTTCTTGTTCCATCGATTGTGCCGCACTTTATTTGTCTTCCAGTAGGGTAGTTCGAAGAAGATACTTTTCTTGTTCCATCCCTATGGTGTTTCTTGCCTTCCCTTAACTTTTCTAGGGTAGTTCGAAGAAGATACTTTTCTTGTTCCATCCCTATGGTGTTTCTTGCCTTCCCTTAACTTTTCTGAAAGTCAAGTTGTTTTTATCATTCCACTGAGTAAGTATATCCTCTCCAGATAATGGGTTTGGGCGCGGGCGATTCTCTTTAGTACCATCAAAGTGGAAGATGTCATCTCTGTACGGATGATTTTCATCCAACATGCGCTGATGGCCGCAATAACAAGTCTTATTGCTAAAGGGTAGTCTTCTCGATGTTGTCTGGAGATGGTAGTAAGGACATGCAGTGTAACCATGTACAGACCAACCGGATAGCATTCCGTATGTAGGAAAATCGTTGATTGTCCACATTAAGGCTGCACGCATGGTGAAGTTTGTCCCTGTGTCCGCATTGTATGTCTCTGCACCATCGATGAATAAAGACCTTAACTCTTCGATAAGAGGTCAAAGATAGACGTTAATATTGTTTCCCGGTGACTTTGGACCATCAATAAGAAGAGGCATCATGAAATATGATTGGTCCATAGCCAACCACGATGAGAGGTTATAAACCATCATCACAATGGGCCATGTGCTGTGGGGATTGCCCTTAAAGCTAAAGGGGCAAAAGCCATCATTAGCCAATCCCAGTATGATATTGCGAGGTTCCTGACTAAATGTTGGGTGCCTACTGTCAAAATCCTTCCATGCAGGCGTATATCTAGGATGACTCATTCGTCCATTTTCACTTGGACGTGCACGGTGATGCCAAGTCATCGCCACCGCTGTCTTCTTACACTTGAATAGCCTTTGCAGCCTCTGTGTAATGGGAAAGTATCGTACTATCTTGATAGGTATATTCTTCTTTTGACCATGAACTTTCTTCTTATATCTAGCCTCTCCGCAAGTAGGACACTCCGTCTTATTTGAATTTTCTTTCTAGTAAATTATACAATCATTGGGACATGCATGTATCATCTCACACTTTAGACCTAGATTAGACATTATCTTTTGAGCTTCATACCTGCTATCAGGCACATGGTTCCCCGGAGGCATAGAATCTTTAAGAAACTTGAGGAGCATCGTAAATGACTTGTTGCTCTATTTATTTAGACATTTAATCTGGAATAGATGGACAAACCATGACAGCATGGAGTGTTTTGCATTCTCATAAATTGGCCTCCTAGCATCATTCATATATTTGTCATAATTGTCTTCACGATGTCCTCCTCCAAAAGGAGGATCTTCAGCAGTGTTAGTGTTACCTAGAGCTACCTCAACCATTTCCTCCATTTCCTCATCAAGAAATAAATTATATTCTTCTTGTTCTTCTTCATCTGCATCACTGAGACCTTCAATTTGTCCATGGTATACCCAATTTTTGTAATCGTTAACAAAACCATTCTTCACAATGTGAAGTTCTACTTCTTCCTCCAATTGATGCAACCTATCCGCGCATCTATTACATGGACAAATGAGTCTCCCATGTCGGACCATATTGTGTCTACGTACAAAGTCCATGAAAGCACTAACTCCATTAACGAAAATAGATTGCATACGTTATGCATGACCCACGTACATCTAATCCTTATCTCTGATGTAGTTACGGGCCATGATAACCTAAATAAAATGAATTATCAGTGATGACTTCTAAAAACATGAATTTAGGGAATAAGCTAAGCATGATCATGACTTTGCTTCGAATATAGGGTTACAATTAAAAGCCAAAAAGTTTAATGAAGTGTAAGTTTTTTGTCTTTGAGGTGCTTCAAGTCCCGCGTTAATTTTGTATCAAGATTCAACTAGGCATTTCAAACACACAGCAAACAAATATTCTTTTTATGCTACTTGAATATTTTTTTTCTTTTCAGAAAATATTATGCAAGCACAACAACAGAAAGTTGGCATTACAATGCACCATTATCTTTCTTCTTATAGACAAAAGCATGAGCACAATACATGTAGATCACAAACGATAGGGCATTAAGAACAGCCAGAAACCAATAGTAGTAGTCAAGATGTGCATGGTTTAGGTTATTAGAGAAACAACTCTCACTTGCACTCTCAGTTACTCCATCAATCACAGATAAAAGAAAACTACTAATGAAATTTCCAATGCCATAGATGCTGAGATAGAGAGCAAGCCCAAGGCTTCTAGGTGCATCAGGAACCTGATCATAGAAAAACTCTTGTTGGCCAATCACAATAAATACCTCAGAGATGCCAATGAGTTGTATGAGGTATCACACTATATGTGTACTATTCTTAAAAAACAGTATGTGTAATACATCAAAGTTTGAAAAAAAAAATTAGCTCAGATTTGGGTCTTTGAAATTACAGACAACCTCACCTAATCATTGATGCTCTATGTAGGCTATTATTCTCAAATATTTCATTATGAAAGGATGATGGAAAGCTCTTTTATCATCTTCAAACTCCATAATTATTAAAAGTGTTAAGCTATTTATATAACTGTCAATATTTTTCCATAATTATTAGAAGTAAGTGTTAAACTATTTATATACCTGCCAATATGATGGAAAGTTCTTATATTTGTCACTGTATATCTACAAAAAACCTAGAAAAATAATAGAGTTCATGCAAATAAACCGAAATGCCAGGGAAGTTGAAGGAAGAACATAAATGTAATCATGAATAACCATAAATTTTAGAAAATACAAGATAATAGCAGAAAAAACTCAATATTTCCTAAAAATAAGAAAACTCTCAGAAATTACCTTAAATAAGTCTGCTGGAGAAAGAGGATGCCTGAGGAAGAGAAGATGACGTCGGGTCCTCGATTAATTTGCTGTAAATAGGGAAATTTGAGTTAGATGGTCAATTAAATTAGGCTAGGGTTTTGTAAATGGGGGGGACCCGAGGATGAGGCGGTGGAGGAGGATGTGGTGGAATCGAGAGGCGATTGAGGAGGAGGCGGAGGAGCGGTGGGAAAATTTGGGGGAAATATCACGCTGGGGAGCTAATTTGGGGGGAACGGCGGTTTATAGCGAAAATTTTTAGGAAATTATAGCGGGTTCAGAGGGAGAACGGGGAAATATAGGGGGAAATGAAATTTCATTTTGTAGGATACGAGTAAACTCCCAAACGGGTTTACTTGTTTGGTAAGGAGCGGTGGAAAAGCGAGAGGCCACGGTCGGACTTCGAAAATTTGGGGGAAATATCACGCTGGGGAGCTAATTTGGGGGGAACGGC